TTGTGACCATAGCTGGGAACATCCTCATTGTTATTCTAGTGATTCTTGATCAGCGTCTTCACACACCCATGTATTTCTTCCTGGGAAACCTGTCCTGCCTGGAAACCTGCTACAGCTCAACCATCATGCCAAGGATGCTGGTCAGTTTTCTGACTGGAGACAGAACTATTTCTATTAAAGGGTGCTTTACACAGCTGTATTTCTTTGGGTCTTTTGCAGCTGCAGAATGTTACTTACTAGCAGTGATGTCATATGATCGCTATTTAGCAATATGCAGACCACTGCATTACGTGACACTCATGGATGGCAGAATTTGCATCATGCTCATTGCTGGGTCTTGGATCAGTGGCTTTTTGGGTATGAACATTGTACTATATTTCGTGTCTCAGCTGAGATTCTGTGGGCCCAACAAAATCAATCATTTTTTCTGTGATTTAACCCCCATGGTAAGACTTTCCTGCAATGACACTGATTTGGTTGAAAAGACTTCGTTCATTGTCTCCTTTATAGCCATACTACCCCCTCTTGTAATAACTGTGTCATCTTATGTTTGCATTATCAAAAAAATTATAAGAATCCCATCTACCACTGGTAAACAAAAGGCATTCTCTACATGCTCCTCTCACCTGACTGTGGTTGCTTGCTTCTATGGTTCACTGACGATAGTCTATGTCTTACCAAATATGAGTTCACTGAGTTATTTGAAAAAACTTTTTTCTCTGTTCTACACTCTGCTCACCCCACTGGTCAACCCCATAATATACAGTTTGAGGAACAAGGAGGTAAAGGATGCAGTAAAGAAAACTTTCAAGCTGCTTCAGAGAACTGATTAGAATTCAGGTCAAAAAGTGTGAAGAACATTGATTGCATTGGCTTCACAATATGAATGCTTACAAAAACAGGTGATTAATGTAATTAATTAATGTATTTTGCCTCTGCCTTGAAAAAATAATAATTTTATTTGACATGAATTTTATAGTTTGGTTTCATATTGGTTATTGAATGCAGCTTTGCTGTGTTTTGCAATGAAATAAAAAAACAATCTCACGTCACATCACAAAATTTCCCAGAAATAACAAAGGAAGGTGACCAATATAGACTCCAGAGTTTCAGGCACTATGGTGGTTCCCAAGTATGTAACATATAACTCCAGAATTCTAAATGCCTATCATATGTGATGCTATTCAAGCTGGCTTTTGGTAGCTAAGAAACAGGAGGTTTAGGGGCATATACAGATTGCTGTTGACTTTTTGACTGCAGGGAGGATCAATGTGTAATTCCAAGCAAGCAACAAATGAACATGATTTGTTGATAATATGTGTGGTCGGAAAGGTTAAGATCTTTCAACTGTTAAGTGTAAAATCAGTATGAATAAGAACTTTTAAGTGATTCTGAAATAATATAATAATCTTTCATAACAAAATACACAGGCACCTACACATATAAGAGAAGTAACTGAGAAGTCAAATAATGTGAGAGTATGTAAATGGTTGAAAAAATGAAAAATAGGCGGTGCTGAAAATGGAAGGGAAATTGCTAAAGACTTAAAAAGAGTGCTGATGGATAATACCAAACTCCTTGTTGACAATGGGTTCAAGAGTCTGTTTCCCTCCATTCTGTTAGGGTAAGGAACACACACACATACACACACACACAGAGAGAGAGAGAGAGAGAGAGAGAGAGAGAGAGAGAGAGGCTTTGAACTATTCACAGACACTTTATGGAAATTCTTTATGGACTTCTAAGAATTGGGGCTTTTAGAGTTAGGCAAGAGGTGGATGAAACCCAAATTTGAAGGTTTGTTCCAAGACCTGAAGAAATTAATTTCTGGCCCTCAAAAGTCCCACAATTTTGGAGAGGGAATAATTCATTTTGATTCTCATTTAAACGTGAACTTACCAAATTCACCCTTTCTGAAATAATACATGAACCAAAACATTGCCATCTTTAAAAAATCCTCCCTTCTTTGAATTTTGCAATGTACGTCTGATGTCACATAATGTATACAAGAAGGCATATATTAGTGAAAATATGCATTATGTTAGGGGTACTTTAGAAAAAAGTTTATGTTAGAGATAATTGCATTAAAAATGTTTGTATTTTGAGTAATGCTCAATAATTTTAAGAAGAGCCTGCTGGGGCATGCCTTTGGCATCTAGTCCAGCATCCTTTTCTCACGGTGGCCAACCAGATGCCTGTAGGAATCCACCAAGCAAGATTCAAGCACAACAGCATTCACCCCACCTGTGTTTTCTAGCAAGTGGTATTCAGAAGCATTGCTGCCTCCAGCTGTGAAAGGCAGAGCATGAATTTGTCTAATTCTCTTCTAAAGCCATCCATGTTGGTGGGTATCATCACAGCCTGTGGAAGCAGGCAACTACACACTTCATAAAGAAGTGATTTCTTTTATTTCTCCTCAATCTTCAAACAATCAGTTTCATAGGATGTCCACAAGTTCTATTGTCAATAAGACTTCTTAAAATTAAATTGTAAACTGATGTGGAATTTTGGACAACTGAAGCTATGACTGGGAAATTGAGAAACTGTGACTGGGTGATTGGTTAATTCCCAGTTATGGTGCTGCAGTAGATAAAACCCACCATTGTGATGGTGGTGGAAATAATTTCCTATCTGATAATAAATTCCCTCTTTTCATGAGCACAAACAGGGCAATAACTTCCTTCCTGAGATTATCTGCATGGATTATCTGAAGGAACAGGCTGTGGGTATGCTGTATGTATGTTGGAACAATAGTGTATGGTGATCCCATAGATTTTTCAGGGGGTGGGATATGAATAGTGGCAAGTAAAATAAATAAAAAGGTAAAGCAAATATCTTAAACATGCAGAATGATCAGTAGCTTCTGCCTGGTTTGCGCAACCTGACTTACATAAAAAATAACAGATTTCACATAGATGGAATCCTGATCTAAATTGGATGATGTGAGTTTTGAACAGATTTCTTTATGGTTCCTGACATGGAATTCATTGCAGATTGCCCAAGAGAATATGCCAGAAATCAAAGGGGAATCATTGATTTCCCTTGTGCTTTCTGTGTTTTCTTCTCCATGTTCATATTCCAGTGAGATTTTTTCTGATTTATAAATTGAACTGAGAGGTTAATTTATGTTATAGATTGTATTCAGTAATGGATGGCACCTCTGAAGAAGACAGCTATCTACATATTTATTATAACAGAACATTCCAAAACCTCAAGAAAACCTTTCAGATAGATGGATTTTTTGGAGGATTGTCCCTAGTTGGAGGATTGTCCCCTTTCATAAGTTTGAGAGTTGTTATGTGCTAAAGAAGCTGTTTGGGCAATAAAGTCCATTATCCAGATTTTTTTTGTAATAGGAAAAACAACAAGCAATCAAGTTTTGAGGGCATTCTGGCTTTAAGGTAATGACACCAGAAAACTCTTTATCACCTGATTCAGAACCAGACACACATATTTTCTCATATGTGAAGGTAAAGCACCCCTGACAGTTGCGAATGACTCTGGGGTTGCAGCACTCATCTCGCTGTACTGGCCGAGGGAGCAGACGTTTGTCCGCAGAGAGTTTTTCCAGATCATGTGGCCAGCATGACTAAGACACTTCTGGCAGACTAGAGCAGCGCACAGAAAGGCCATTTACTTTCCCGCTGGAACGGAACGGTACCTATTTATCTACTTGCACTTTGACATGCTTTCAAACTGTTAGGTTGGCAGGATCTGAGACCGAGCTCCAGCAAAGCGCTCTGATGGATTGTCTTCACTGAGACATAAAGGAAATAAGCCAAGATGCCACTGAAATTTGGAACTCACTTTCTGCTTTATTTTTGCCCCATATTGGGTGGACGATTCTTGCATTGCAGGGAGTTGGACTAGATGACCCCCATGGTCACAACTAGAGTCAATTCTATGATTCTATGATTTCTTAGGAGTCTGCAACTTATAATTTCCATGCAGAAAGTTAGCTAGTGTGGCCAAGGGTCTCAGTTTACATAGGTCCATCACTCTGAAGGACACTCTGGTTCAAGGCTTAAGAATAAATGACTGTAAGAAGGGAGGACAGGAACTTCGAAGTTGCCCATGAGCACTTAGCTTCCAAAAAGCAGACTGTGCAGAGATACTGGCCACCTGTTGATTCTTTCTGCATTCCTTTCAAAATTAGATAGAAATTAGATTATACAGTTTTAATGGAAATTTTGCTCCCCTTCTGTTCTCTTCTTTAGTGCTGCTTCACTGGCTACCTTAATAGACACCAGTAAAAGAATGCAAAAGCAGCAATGCTACCCTGATTTGGATGCACCTATGCAAAATGCCCTCTGTGCAGCTCATTCTTAAAGTGGACTTTCTTTTCCCCCGCCGACCTGCATCATTTCTTATCATTGACTATGCTGGTAGGGGGAGGGGGAGCTGATAAGAATTAGAGTCCAACAACATCTCAAGAAGAGACAGTGGCTGCTTCGGATTTAGAACATTATAAATATCATAGCAGGTTTATTTTTCCAGGTCAGCATGTACACGTTGTACTATTTGGATTATTGTTTTCACTACTGCAATATACCTGAAATGTGATTGGCTGAATTACATATCCTAAGCATGATTCCAAAGTGTAATACAGTGGTACCTCGGGTTACATATGCTTCAAGTTACAGACTCCGCTAACCCAGAAATAGTACCTCGGGTTAAGAACTTTGCTTCAGGATGAGAACAGAAATTGTGCTCCGGCGGTGCGGCGGCAGTGGGAGCCCCCATTAGCTAAAGTGGTGGTTCAGGTTAAGTACAGTTTCAGGTTAAGAACGGACCTCTGGAATGATTTAAGTTCTTAACCCGAGGTACCACTGTATAATTTAATAGGGCTTATAACCTAATAAGTGTGTACAGCAATGCAACCATAATTAAAGATACACTCAAACATACTTTCATATCTTTGAGCATATGCTGAATTAAAACAACAAATGAATCAAATAATTCAGCCTAAATATTTCTTAATTTTTATTGCAATTATTTAGATGAACTTAGATGTCAACTCAGAAGAGGAAAATCAAACAGCTCCTGTGGCATTCATCCTCTTGGACTTTAATAGTGAGGACTTACAGACATTGTTTTCCATACTTTTTCTTCCTATCTACCTTGTGACCATGGCTGGAAACATTCTCATTATTATTCTAGTAGTCCTCAATCAGCATCTTCACACACCCATGTATTTCTTCCTGGGAAACCTGTCATGCCTGGAGACTTGCTACAGCTCAACCATCATGCCAAGGATGCTGGTCAGTTTTCTGACTGGGGACAGAACCATTTCTATTAATGGATGCTTTGCCCAGCTGTATTTCTTTGGTTATCTTGCAGCTACAGAATGCTATTTTCTAGCAGTGATGTCTTACGATCGCTATTTAGCAATTTGCAAACCACTGCATTACACATTGCTGATGAATAGCAGAATCTGCATCATGCTAATCACTGCATCATGGATCAGTGGATCACTGAGTATCAGTCTTATAATATTTTTGGTATCTCAACTAAGATTCTGTGGACCAAATGAAATCAATCATTTCTTCTGTGATTTGGTCCCAATGATAAGACTCTCCTGTGATGATACATATTTTGTTGAAATTGCATCCTTTATTGTCTCCTGTATAGGCATCCTGCCTTCCTTTCTAATAACACTTACATCTTATGCTTTCATAATCAACAGCATTTTAAGAATTGCATCCACCACTGGTAAACAAAAGGCATTCTCTACATGCTCCTCTCACCTGACTGTGGTTGCTTGCTTCTATGGCTCCCTGATGATAGTCTATGTCTTACCAAACATGAATTCATTGAGTGACTTGAAGAAAGTATTCTCTCTGTTCTACACATTGCTCACTCCCCTAGTCAACCCCCTTGTATACAGTTTGAGGAACAAAGAAGTGAAGGAAGCCATAAAGAAAACACTCTTTAAAATGTTCAATAGAATTTATTAAAATTCAGAAGAAAAACCAGGATAACTCTTTTACCTCTAAAGTGTGGGAAACAAGGTGGAAACCTCTTTGTTTCCATGATGTTGATGTTTTAAGCTATTGAATAAAGAAAGAAATCTTAATGCATTTTGTCAATGTTTGTTTCGGAGGCAAGGTCCAGAAATCAGTCTGTTTTGCAATCATATATGTAGACTTCCTGTTTGTGTTTAAGTTGACAGAAATTCAAATTCTAACACAACTATCAGAAAACCTTTCAGCTACATTATATATTTTTCTTTAGAAGCTTTCTATTCAAATCAGCATTCCACTGCCGACATTCATGGGATTGGTGAGCCTTTCAATTTTAGTTTATTTACTTTTCTCATCACCTTCCCCCCCCCCACTCTTATATTCAGGTCTCTACCTCTCCGCATTCATTTGCATTTTTTAAAAAAACACGACAACATTTTATCTGCATTTTATTAATTTATCCTAGTACTCCCATTTTGTATGTGATCTGTCCTCTCCCCAGGAATGTTGCTACATCATACACATCTTAAGAAGCCATTCCATCATCTCCTTATAATAATTCTTATAAGGAAATGAAATGGGATTGCTTGCAGAACAGTAATTGGATAGGAAAGGCAACTTTACAATTGTTTCTATCCCCATCCTTGACAAAAACTGGAGCTAATTTGTCTTGTTACGAGCACATGGTTATCACTATTCTGATTAGAACATCTAGATCAGACTTTCATAACCTTTGGACCCCAGATGCTGATGGACTATAACTCACATCATCCTTTGCTAGCAGGACCAGAGATCAGGGATGACTAGAGTTGTAGTCCAACAACATCTGGGGACCCAAGACTGAGAAAAGCTGATATTGACAGAGTGGTACTCTCCCTGCTGCCAGACATTTGAAACATACAAAAGGACAAAACAAATGAACATATATCAGCTAAAATCCTGAATCCTAGTCCAGATGGTGCAATGATTTCTCCAGGGCTCTTGGTCTGAGGAAATCTACAAAGGATTTCTCAGAATGCAGAAAACTCATTAATCATTGTGGAGTCCTTGGTTTCCCATATGATTTTGATAGGTTGTTTTTTTGTTTTTTTTTACTCTTGCATACTCCTTTCCCAGTGAGACTTTTCAGATGCAGTGATAGATTTAGATGGTTATATAAGGCATAAATTGGTTATATGCAGCAATGGCTGCACAGTTCAAGCAGAGACAATAATCTTTTCATTATTACAGAGGATTGCCAAATTTTCATGGAATACATGATACAATATGCATTCAAAAGACAGAGTGCACTGAAGACCAGCAGAAAGTGCATTTATTTCCATTCTTTTACAAATACTTTGCATTCTAAGATGAAGCATAACCAACTCTTCAGCCATCCAGTGTGTTGTGGCTTTAAGGTAAGAACTCCTCGAAAGGAGCACTTTAGCATGAAATCAGTGATCTGGTCCAGAATATGAATGAAGTTGTTGGACATAGTTTCAGGCCAATTTAAATTTCTATGTATTTAGCTTCTAGTTTGAGTTAAAAGATGTAAAAATGAAGATTTAAAATGGCATCAGTCAATCTATTCTCTCTTGGACTAGGAGTCAAATGACCAAAAACCAAATGGCTGTTATGTTTGAAGAGAGACATGTCAATGGAATTGCATTTGTGTCTTTTGAGCATGTCAGCTAGGACTTTTGTGTTCTATATCTGATTCCATATATTTAGTGGCCCCTTAAGAAATTGATCTGCCAACTTGGACTCTATTTCCCTCCCTTCCTTATGGGAAAATCAAGTACTCTGAGGCACACTGATACATTGAACTAGCATTGCCTACTGCATTATGTTCAAACTAGGACAGGGAACTCACACCTTGAGGTAGTGGGATGGAGCAGTTGATACAGAAGGTGTGCTGATAGAGCAACCACTGTGTAAGTTATTTTTATTGTGGCTCAGAAGTGGTGAACTTCTCTCCCTACAGATGCTGCTTCGCTACAAGTCCATGTGGAAGGTGACAGTTTCCCCACCCTTGACTTACATCTGGACAGCCATAGGTTCCCCATTATTGATCACATGGTTCCGGTTGTGGCACTGATGGCCTCCACAGTTGCCTCCCAGTGTCTTAAGGTAAAATGTAACTCAGCTATATGTTGTAATAGGCTTTTCAAGTCTGAAACATTATGGAAATGATACAAGACTCTGTTGAATCCTGTGCTTCTTCCATCCTTTCTTTGGTTTTATTTTTGCTGTCCTCTCAGTGAATGGGGTATTTTTTGTTGTTGTTGCTTGTTTATCTGATTTTTAATTTATATATTTTATATTGCTTTTTACAAAATGTTTCACAGTAATGTACAACAATGTTAAATAATAAATGCTTAGGCAAACAGGAATGTCTTTGACTACTAGTAAAACACATCACTGACAGTGCCACCACAAGGAACAACCTTTTCCTGATTTACACCTGATTAATCAATTGTTCTCCATGTGTCATAGAATATGCATTCTTTTTGCTTGGCTCATTGGCTCCAGCCATTGTAGGGATCTGATTTTATGGAGAATTAAGCCCTCTTTATCTGCCACCATCTTCTTGGGTGACAGTCAGTCTCTTCTCTCTCTTCCATATCCAAAAGACTTATGTACGTATTTACAAGGCCCAAGCCTCATAAACTCCCCCTGGCCTGAGATTTAGACAGGGACCCTCTTTATTGACCTTTTGGCATGTGACAAAACACTTTCTTATATCAGCAGGCTTTTTGATAATTTTGAAATGATTCTTCTATTTTATATAGTTTACTTTTTGGAATAGTATGTACTACTTAGCAATATTAATGGATAAAGTGGATGCGGGTGGTAATGTAGTATAAACCACTGAGCCTCTTGGGCTTGCCGATCAGAAAGTTGGCAGTTCAAATCCACACAACGGGGTGAGCTTCTGTTGCTCTGTCCCTGCTCCTGCCTACCTAGCAGTTTGAAAGCATGCCAGTGCAAGTGGATAAATAGGTATCACTGTGGTGGGAAGGTAAACGACATTTCTGTGCACTCTGGCTTCCAACACAGTGTTCCATTGCACCAGAGGTGGTTTAGTCATTCTGGCCACATGACCTGGAAAGCTGTCTGTGGACAAACTCCAGCTCCCTCAGCCTGAAAGCGAGATGAGCACTGAAACCCCAGTCGCCTTTGACTGGACTTAACCATCTTTTACCATTACCAATACCATATTTTTTGCTCCATAAGATGCACCCTACCATAAGACACACCTCATTTTTAGAGGAGGAAAACAAGAAAAAAATATTCTGAATCAAATGTTGTACTAAACTATTTAATAAACAACCGAAGGGTTTCATCAGGATACCCTGAACCTTGAAGATACTTATATCACCCCCCCACACACACACACCACACACATCCAAGGAAGCTGCTAGGTAGGAGATCAGGACAGACAAAAAGAAGAACTTTGCACAATGTATGGTTAAAAGACAGAACTTGCTACAAGACTGAGCGACAGCTACTAACTTGGGTGACTTCAAAAGGGGATTAGACAAGGGGCGCTGCACAGTTCTCCCTCTCTGTGCATCGCCTCTCCAGCAAAGCGGGAGGAGAAACAGAAGGGGCTCCGTTTCGCCTCCTGCTTTGCTGAAGGGGCACTGTGCAGCTTTCCCTCTCTGCGCAGCGCCTCTCCAGTAAGCGAAGTCAGAATAGCAAGAGGGATCGCTGCGCAGCGAAAGCAGCAATTCCTCTTGCTGTTCTGACTTCAGTGAAAGCTGCACAGCCTACATTTCCTCCATAAGACACACACACATTTCCCCTTACTTTTTAGGAGGGAAAAAGTGTGTCTTATAGAGCGAAAAATACGGTACCTTAAACAAAGTGTTCATATTTCTAAAAAAATATATTAGTAGAGATGTGTGGTGAAATAAATCATTGCAAACATTTTGGGGGGTCAGATGGGCTCAACATAAGGAAATGCGCTTGATTTTTTGTGTTCAACAGAATCTTCCAACATCACTACTAGGGAGTAAGTGTGTGAGCTCCTGAGAGACTAAACGGAATGAGCTTTATTGTAACTAAAGCAAAACAATTAGACCAATGAAAACCAGGAATTTGGAATCTGTGGCCATCATGAATAAATGTCGAATCCCAAATGGACAGCCGCAGGCTCCCCACATCTGTTGCACCCACTTCTTTCACATACACACATTATTTTATTGTCATACTGAATTTTGCAATATATTCTGGCAAAAGATTTCTTGTTTAATTTTTCCTAGTTAATACTGGATATACTCACAAAACAAAAATAGAGCCTTTGAAATAAAGGGGGGAAAGTTGGTCATGAGACACAGAATGTTGTGGTGGTTAGTGTAAGAGTGCAGCTGTACTCCTTGGAGTTAAAGCGATATATTTCAATCAGTCTGCTCTAAGTCATAAACTAATCTTCTGAAGATCCTGAGGAAACAAATATTCATGCCTAATTGCTATTTATTATCCCTTAGATGCACTTGACTGTCAATGAGAAAGAAGAAAATCAGACAGCTCCTGTGGCATTTATTCTGTTAGATTTTAACAATGATGACCTACAGATGTTATTTTCCATACTGTTCCTAACTATCTACCTTGCAACCATGGCTGGGAACATCCTCATTATTATTTTAGTGGTTACTGATCAACACCTTCACACACCCATGTATTTCTTCCTGGGAAACCTGTCCTGCCTGGAGACCTGTTACAGCTCAACCATCATGCCAAGGATGCTGGTCAGTTTTCTGACTGGAGACAGAACTATTTCTATTAAAGGGTGCTTTACACAACTGTATTTCTTTGGGTCTCTTGCAGCTGCAGAATGTTACTTACTAGCAGTGATGTCATATGATCGCTATTTAGCAATATGCAAACCATTGCATTACACAATACTTATGAATGACAGAATCTGCATTCTGCTGATTGTTGGACCATGGATCATTGCGTGTCTGGCAATGAGTCCAATAATATTCTTCATGTCTCAACTGAATTTCTGTGGACCCAACAAAATCAACCATTTCTTCTGTGATTTCACTCCCATGGTAAGACTTTCCTGTAATGAGACGGATTTGATTGAAACTACAACCTTCATACTATCCTCCATAGGTACTCTGGCACCCTTTGTCATAACTGTGTCATCTTATGTTTACATTATCAAAAACATTTTAAGAATCCCATCCAGCACTGGTAAACAAAAGGCATTCTCTACATGCTCTTCTCACTTGACTGTGGTTGCTTGCTTCTATGGCTCCCTGATGATAGTCTATGTCTTACCAAACATGAGTTCACTGAGTGACTTGAAGAAATTCTTTTCTCTGTTCTACACTTTGCTCACCCCACTAGTCAATCCCCTTGTGTACAGCTTGAGGAACAAAGAGGTAAAGGAAGCAATTAAAAAAACATGCAAGATGCTTCAGAGGCATTATTATTAAGGAAAATTTTCTACCTTCAGAATGTGAACGCTTTATGCTGACTAATAAAGGAAGTGATATTAATGCATGTTGTTAAATCATAATTTTAGAGGCAGGATCCTGGAAAATTGTCTTCTTTGTAGCTCTTGTTGACACTCAAGTTGGAAAGACATTAAACACTGACACAACTATCAGGAGGCATTCTTCCAACCACAATATATGCCTTAGACCATTTGGTCAACCCCTTATATGCAGTTTGAAGAACAATGGCATAAATCACACGCCAAGAAAAAAGTGTTCAAGGTGTTTCATAGAATTCATTGAAATTTAGGGAGAAATGGGGGAAACTGCATAATAAGAAATCAAGTAGATACCATTCTATATCCTCAGTATGAATGTTTCTGGTGTCTGGTGTTTAATAAAGAAACTTTTTATATATTTTGTATTAGTCTACACTTTGGACGCAGGACCCTGGAATGTAGTCTCTTTTTAATTGTTATTTAGTTAAGCTTCCTGTTGGCATTCAAACAATGGGGCAAAAGATTCCTGCACTCCAGGGGGCTGGATTAGATGACCCTCCAACATTCGGTCCCCTTCCAACTTTATATTTCTGTGTTCCTATTGTTCTAAGTACCAGCCACATTGGCTATTCATTTTTAAAAACTAAAGTGGGGAAACTTTTTTCATAAATGCCAGATGTTTCTTCATGGACATCTCTCAAACCCAGCAAGCAAGGGGCTTTATTAGAGTTCAGGGAGACCTTCCAGGAACTGGAGGAGGGTATGAAGCAGAACAAGTGAAGGGTATGACCTGGAGGGAAAGTGTGCCTGGAGCTTAGAGAGCAAACATGGCCTGAGGTTCCTCACCTTGCTTTAAAAGAATGTATTATAGCCTGCACTTTTTTTCTCTAAAAAAAATGTTTTGGGGTACTCTCATTTTGACTCAAGAAAAGCACCATTTTATAGTTCAAATCAAGGGAAATAAATAAAGTAAGTGGACAAAAGTACAGTGGACCCTCTATTTACATACTGCGCTGGATACATAACTTTCGGGTTACGTATGCGGCAAACCCGGAAGTGTATGCTTCCGGCTTTTGCCATGCACGCATACGCAGAAGTGGCGCCTCTGCCTATGGACTTTTCGGGTTGCAGACAGACCCCCGGAACAAATTTAATTCGTATCCAGAGGGTCCACTATACAAAGATTCACAAAATGTTTAGGGGTATGCGTACCCCTAGAAAAAAGCACTGATTATAGCACACAGTAAAAGTTCATATATCAGCCATCAAATGATGGTTTAACAAATATTTACAAATAAATTACTTCCTGTGTGTCCATTTCAGTGTTAATTAATTTTGCAGAGGCCTGTTAGTCTTTTTTCAGGAAAACATTGCAAAGAGTCTTTAGGCACTTAAAAGACAAAGTTAGTGAAGTGAGGATTGACTCATCTCAAAGCTAGGTGTGGTGAAGAAGTTCATTAAAAGCAAGCAGAAGAATGAGCAAGGCTGCAGACATGTTTCCTAGGAATTGCTAACATGCATTACACTATAATGTATTCCTAGGAATTGCTAACATGCATTACACTATAATGTATTCACTGTCTTCATTATAACAACCTGGGTTGAGTGGCGATCTCAGTGCTGGTAGATGGATTTGCAACTTGCAAAATAAAGGAAAAGTGGGAAAATATACAAAATCATATAGAGTTCTGAACGCAAGATTTACTGGCAGGGATTATTTTTCTAGTGAATTTCTTCATAGCTCTTGACCTCAGGGGGGAAAAACAACAGAGAATTTGCAATCATTAAGGTAACCCACTGATCAGGGGGGAGTCGGTGATTTCCCAAATGATTTTGAAATGTTTCTTCCATTTATCAGCGAGACTTTTCAGGTGCATTATATAACTTTATATAAGATATATTTGGCAATGGATGACATTAACCAAGAAGAGACATTCATATTTTCAATATAAACAGAGAATTGTCAAACATGCAAGGACATTTTCTAGATGGATGTTTTGAGGGATTGTCGGTAATAGGATGACATCCATGCAATTTACATTTGAGAGCAGATGTGTGCTGAATACCTCAATGAAAAGGTAGATTGATCCAGAACTTTATGGGATTCATCACCTAATGTGTTCTGATGTTAAGGTAAGGATCCATGGTAATAAAGCTTTTAGCACCAATTTGGAGCTCTGCTACACAATCCAAATAAAGTGCTTAGGATTTTGTAATGTCCATTTAGTTCAATGCATTAATCTGTCAGTTTAATGTAAAAGATCTGAAAATGAGTATGAAAATATAATAGGCAAATCCAGTCTCTTGTACACTGGAATCATGTAATGAGGGATCTATCACCCACAACTGCTAAGGCAGAGCTGAAAGAGTTGTCATTGTAGTGGGACATGTTACTTTTTGGCTTGTCAGCAGCCCACTTATTGGATTTAAGATTTAGGACTTGCCATTTCACACCTGACCCCATTCACAGTGGTCCTAAAAGCAATCTAGCTGTTATTTGTTCTGCAAACCCTAAAATATGCCTGTTGGAGTCCCCTATGTCTCTTGATTGATATAATGCATTTTGTTCTGAATTCATGTATACGAAAGAAAAATCTAATTATGTTATCCAGATAAAGGTAAAGGTAAAGATACCCCTGCCCGTACGGGCCAGTCGTGTCCGACTCTAGGGTTGTGCGCCCATCTCACTTAAGAGGCCGGGGGCCAGCGCTGTCCGGAGACACTTCCGGGTCACGTGGCCAGCGTGATGAGCAGCACACGGAAACGCCGTTTACCTTCCCGCTAGTAAGCAGTCCCTATTTATCTACTTGCACCCGGGGGTGCTTTCGAACTGCTAGGTTGGCAGGCGCTGGGACCGAGCAATGGGAGCGCACCCCGCCGCGGGGATTCGAACCGCTGACCATGCGATCGGCAAGCCCTAGGCACTGAGGTTTTACCCACAGCGCCACCCGTGTCCCTGCCATGTTATCCAGATATCATCACTTAAATAACTTCTTTTTGGATTCTACATTTTAGATTGATATATCTATGGTAACATAACAGCTTTCAGTCTTTTAAGATTGTAATCCTATAAACACTATGTTTGAGAGCCAGCCACACTAAGTTCAGTAGGGTGTAAATCGTAGTAGACAGGATTTCTAGTCAAATATTTGTGACTATGCATTTTGTTCCTCCTCTTTGCCATGCAAGGATGAGCTGGCTAGTAACTTCCTGAGTTCCTGAGAGAACTTCAGTATGTGTAAAGCAGGCCTAGGAAAATGATCAAGCTACAGATTTTTACTGGAACAACAATTTTTTTGAAAAAATAATAATACTGCAAACCAGATTTTGGACTCCAGCTCTCACTATACATTGTCATCATGGTCAGTGGTCAAAAGTAATGGTACTTGTAGTCCAATAACATAAGTAGAGCCATAGTGGCCCATCACTGTTAGAAACTTTAGAAAATAACTTACATGTAAAGCATTCTTAGTTTCATAACATAGTTAAAAAGAGTTATGGTGGGTTGCTTAACTTTCATAGATATACACCAGAAACCATTGCTGGATTTTTTAAATCAATGGGGCTTAAGTTAGTCTTGAAATCCAGAATGGAGTAGTGATTAGAACATCATGCCTAGGGAAATCCAGTTTCAAATCCTTGCTTCCCCTTATCCTAACCTCACAAGGTGAGGATAGAAGCTGGTGGGAGAAGAATGTGTATTACCTTGCACTTCATGGAGAGAAAACAATAGAAGGTTAATATAATAATAAAAAGTCCATTGATTTCATCATGTTTGATCTAGATACAGCTAACAGGCTGTAACTTCTCAATCACATATTCAAACCTAAATATTCATTAATATTATCTGATATTACTTAGATGAAACTGAATGTCAACACAGAAGAGGAAAACCAAACAGCTCCTGTGGCATTCATCCTCTTGGACTTTAATAGTGAGGACTTACAGACATTGTTTTCCATACTTTTTCTTCCTATATACCTTGTGACAATGGCTGGAAACATTCTCATTATTATTCTAGTAGTCCTCAATCAGCATCTTCACACACCCATGTATTTCTTCCTGGGAAACCTGTCATGCCTGGAGACTTGCTACAGCTCAACCATCATGCCAAGGATGCTGGTCAGTTTTCTGACTGGGGACAGAACCATTTCTATTAATGGATGCTTTGCCCAGCTGTATTTCTTTGGTTATCTCGCAACTACAGAATGTTACTTTCTAGCAGTGATGTCTTATGATCGTTACTTAGCCATTTGCAAACCATTGCATTATGTAATGCTCATGAATGGAAGAATTTGTATCATGCTTATTGCTGGATCATGGATCAGTGGATCACTGTTTATCAGTCTCATAATATTTTTGGTATCTCAGCTGCAATTCTGTGGACCCAACAAAATCAATCATTTCTTCTGCGATTTGATCCCAATGATAAGACTTTCATGCAATGATACCAATCTGGTTGAAACTACAGCCTTCATAATATCCTTCATAGGTACACTGGCACCCTTTATCATAACTGTGACATCTTACATTTTCATCATCAAGAGCATTTTAAGAATCCCATCCACCACTGGTAAACAAAAGGCATTCTCTACATGCTCCTCTCACTTGACTGTGGTTGCTTGCTTCTATGGCTCCCTGATGATAGTCTATGTCTTACCAAATATCAGTTTACTGAGTGACTTGAAGAAACTCTTTTCTCTGTTCTACACTTTGCTCACCCCACTAGTCAATCCCCTTGTGTACAGCTTGAGGAACAAAGAGGTAAAGGAAGCAATTAAAAAATCATTCCAGATGTTTCAGAGAACTTATTAAATTTTTTAGAGGAAAGGGGAAACCTTATCATTATCACTGACTTCATGTGTGGACTTCACCATTGATATATATTAATTTCATCTGCATTAGATCTAGTGGATCTTTCTTAGCCACATTTCAGTGATGGGGAGAACCGACCCCAAACTGAATGAAACAATAGATGTGTTCTTTACCTTTGCACATAGGCTACATTTCAGCCGTTGAAAATCAGAGGGTTGTAGACACTCCCACTTATTTGTCCATCCTCCATCCAAGTAATTAAGAGGCATTGTCATATTTTGAGATCACATTTTAACCAGGCAAACACACTTATAGAAGGGTCACATCCCTGAGGAGATGTGTAGTCTGGGAAGAATCCCAACAACCAAAAATGGATGTCTGGGGGGTTGCCATAGACCTCCAGGGCTGAAGTTTTTCAATCCTAGTCTACCAGTTCACTGTTGAGTCAGGGAACTGAGAGGCGGTCTCCATTGCCACTAATGATCTAAACTGGCTTCCTTTTGAAAAGATTTTGAACACAGACACAGTTACCAGGAGACATTCTTATAACTGCACTATATACATTCTGATAAAGAGTCTCCCCCTTCAAATTTGTTCCATTCCTCTTGTGGCTTTAACAAAAATCCGCACATGGATTTTTAAATGTTTATTTCCAGCTTTTGCAAATGGAATTATTAAATAAGGTATGTTAACTGGAATGAAAAATTAACTTTCTAAAGGACTTTAGTCCTTTACTTGCCTGCTGTTTGGTTTGCTGAAAATGCACCTTACGATTTTATGCCATTAGAAAAAGGATTTTCATTTTTTTTTCTGAGATGGGAAAAATATGTTTGAGGCATAGTGGGCAGTGATACAGTGTCATGAAGTGAAAAGGTTAAGAAGAGCCTCTTTTCCATTGTGGATCTTTAATGGATATGGCAGTTTTAAATCTTAGTTTGGAACTTTGCCTGATGCATTCATAAAAGGAAATAAAATTCCCCCAACTGAATCTATGAAACAAGATGGAAAGAATGGACCAAAAGAACAAAAATATCAAGTTGAATGAAATCCTCTCATCCCTGTTCAATGTATTTGGTAACTGCACATAAAGAAATATGACGTGCTGCAGTAGCTAAAATGTTAAATCACCATTTGGGATGTATGAATCTGTCCATTTCAATTTCTCTCCATGAAAATCCATCATGTCTGTATATATCTTTGCCTAAGAGACACATTTTTGGAAAATAATGTGCCCTAATATAATGCATTTTTGTATGTTAATGTCACAAATGCATGAATTTTACTGTACATGTGTATGCATTTTTGTCAACATTTCTTCATGTGGGAACTGCACTGCAAAATTCAGAACATTGCAAATTTCACTCCACATAAATTTCTCATTTATGTGTCTATTTACATGGCTATAAGAATAATAGAATTGTAAAGTTGAAAGGAACCTCAAGCATCTAGTCCAACTCTCTGCAATGCAGGAATCTCAACACATTGACTTACTCATTGAAATAACTGGGGCTTCTTACTTTGTTTATTTTGAAAATATTTAAGTTATACAGAAGAAGGTATCATGAAACATGCAATGGTAAGTGAAGTGTGCACTGAATTTAAAAATAGAAGGTATGCATAATTCTGTATATAGAATAATAAAGCAAAATGATGGAGCTGTCCAAATATAATATGTTTACTAATGGGAACAGTTAGTTTTTAAATAAATAAATAAATAAATAAATAAAGGTATACAAATATAATATAGCTTAACTAATGGAAATATATTCATATTTAACACCAATAAAACTGAGATAATTCTAAAACATTTCAGATACACTGATATGCTATCAGAAACCTGTGAAAACGATAGACCAAAATCTTTCTAGGAACAATTAGCAGCAGTACATGGATTTGATGGAGTTCTAAGAATCACTTCCGGGTGATTCTATACAGTCATCATTTCTACACCACCATCTCCCCCCCCCCCGAACAAACATCATAATCATAATAATATAATAATAATAATTTATTATTTATACCCCGCCCATCTGGCTGGGTTTCCCCAGCCACTCTGGGCGGCTTCCAAAAGAATATTAAAATACAATCAGGTAACCTTCTCCCTGTCCACCTTCCATGATGAAGCATTCTTATTACTAAGCTCCTAAACTGACAGATACATTCAAGCCAGAATACTGTGGGAGTCTCTGCTGGATGTTCTAATTTCCATGTCACTCTTTCCTAGCAATCATATTTCTGCTCCAAAGTCTACTTGCAAACAAGATTAGGGAAAAGAGTTATAAAAGCAGGCTTGATGGATGATACTGAGGAGCAAGAACTGTGATAGGGGTGTGGGGAAAGTGACTTTTGTGGATTGGGGCAGAGCTATGTTTCTACAATTATTTCTGATTCTTGTATGGCTTCTTTGCTGTTCCTCCCCCCTCCCCCAGATTCAAACTGCCCCTCCATACTACAGTTCAATTTCCAACTCATTTACTGGGTTCCCTAATTCTGATGAACAATTTGTTCTCCCTTGTTAGGATATTTCCGTTCCACCTTAAAAGGGAGCAGGCTTTGTGAGTCACAGAGTCTGCGCATTTCCTGTTCACAGGATGTTTATGTTTGCTATTGCTATCGTTTTCTCTCTGTGTCTGGAGACACTGATGCAGGCAGTCATGTTTTTCTTTGTTCTGACCAACGCTGAATAAACTTGTAAATAATGCTCTCCTGCGTGCAACTTCTGCTGTGGTTTATCTGCTGATAGAGTGTGCATGAGCTCTGGAAACTCGTGTCGCTAATTGCTGATACTGCATGACTACGGGAGATCGATGGATCGTCCGGCAGCCGGCTTGGGGGCCATGATGGACTTTGTCTCCCTGGCAGTATCCCAACATCCCTGTCCCCTTTTCTCTCTTTGGATTTCACTGCCTATACTTACCTGACATCTCTCAATTATTACCTGTGCCTGCTGTGATTTAGTTAAGTTAAGTTACATTATATGCTCCATAATAGGCAAATAGCTCTGGGAAATTGCAGGTGGCTAACCTGTAGGTCTCCATATATTGCTAGACTACAAATCTCATCATCCATTACCATCAGCAGTAGTGCCTGGGGCTGATGGGAGCAGGAGTCCAACAATATCTGGAGGTCTACAGGCTTGCTTCTCCTTCTGTAAATAGATAAGTAAGAGTTCAAATGTGACCTGCTTCATTACATTTATCGATTTCTGCTACTTCCAGAATACAAGTTTTGCATCTACAAGCCTTTTCAAGGCTTCACGTACCTTCTTGTTTCTCAAGCTATAGATGAGGGGATTAATCATTGGAGTCACAATAGTATAGAAGATTGAGAATATCTTGCTTGTGTCTACAGAGTGTTTAGCAGCAGGAACCACATACATTGTAATCAGCGTCCCATAGAAAGTTGTAACTACTATGAGGTGAGTGGAGCAGGTAGAAATGGCCTTTTTAGACCTAGTGCCAGAAGCCTGTTCGATAACAGCTGACAATATATAGGTGTAAGACACAACCGTAAGTAGGAATGGGATCAATGTTAGACTGGAAGAAAGAATGAAAGAAGTCTTTTCAAACAGGTATGTGTCAGAACAAGCAAGCTTCAGCAGTGGAGAAAAATCACAAAAGAAATGATCGATTTCATTGGGCCCACAGAAGGTCAAGCTTATCATCAGCAACACTGTAATTAAGGTTATCAGAAAGCCACTGATCCAAGAGCTAGCAGCCAGCCAAACACACATGTTGCTGTTCATAACAGTTGTGTAGTGGAGAGGGTTGCATATGGCGATATAACAGTCATAAGACATCACTGATAGGAGAAGGCATTCAGTGCCACCCAGTGATCCAAAGAAATAAAACTGAATCATGCAGTCCATAAAAGAAATGGTCTTCTCCTCAGAGATCAAACTGGTTAGCATCCTGGGAACAATGTTAGATGTATAGATGATCTCGAGGAAGGAAAGTTACCCAGGAAGAAATACATGGGTGTGTGCAAGCTACGATCTGTTGATACAGTGATCAAAAGTAAGAAATTGGTAGCAAGTGTAACCATGTAGAAGATCAAAAACAAAGCAAACAGGAAGGGCTGCATTTCAGGGGTATCTGAGAATCCGAGTAGCAAAAATTCAGTGACCGAGGTCCCATTCCATGAGGTTAGGTATGCCATGTGGAGTTAATCTGGAGGAAACAGCAGGAACAATAATAATCGCTGCCACCACGTCTGTTGTCAGTGTGGGAACACTGTAACAGGGTTAAGTACACCTAAATTAATTGAAATCAATAGGCATGTTTAGGTGGCTGGTGGGTTGTGGCCAGTTCTTTATCTTCCCAAAAACTGCAGATGGAAATCAATGGATAGAATGAAGCTTTTCTACCAATATGTTGCAGTTGAAGCCTCTGAAAATTTTCTCATTAGAGTTGGAGTTACCCTCCAAAAAAGCATTTAATGTGGGAGAAATGAGGGGAGAAAAGACAAAAATCAGAGGTACCTGCCTCCATTTGCATGCATGGAAATGCCTTCTGTTTGGGATTGGCCCGGCCAACATGAATAACAAGTCAGCTATTAGTATAATTATTAAAAATATTATATGTTTATTTATACCCCGCCTTTTCCACTGACCCGACTCAAGGCAGCTTAAAGATAAAATCAACAATTACTAAAAACATAATAAAAGCAATAATTAGAAAAAACAATTGAACATTAATGGAACTAAAACTATATACACATATAGATATCTAGGAAATCCTTACTCCTATGGTCCATCAGCCTGATCTTCAGGAATGAAACAAGTGTTGTCCTCTCCATCTTAGGAAAGTCTATCTGCTTCCTTTTCCACATGTCTCATGCTTTTAGATACACACAAGCACAGCTACTTTACATATCGACATCATATATACTAATAGTGAATTCATTTGGGTGTGATTCCCCCTCCCAAGACTTTTGTATTTCTGCAAATTTTGGAGTGCCCCCAAGCCTGGTGGTATATCTCTTGTGGTGGTGATATTTTCACTGCATAAGGATTGTTACCTGAACGGGGGGGGGGGGATGCAGCAGCATGCTGAGGGGCAGATTTGTAGTAATAGAAAAAAGTTAAAAAATAAAGAAACCAGCAAAAAGGAAAACAGGAAGCACCCCAATGACAGAAAAAGATGTTCAATGATGGCAATGCTGACTCTCTGTTGTGTAGGATGAAAATGGGGCAGTTTCAAATTCTACAAGAGAGCCTAGCTCATGGGCTGGCTGGAACACTGAGCAGCAGAACTCCATACTGAAGCAAACTAAATATCCATTTACACTAGGCTCAGCTTTCTCATGCTCTCAGGTCCTTCTAGTTTCTATACTCACAATTATGTTTTCCATTCAGCACTGCATGATATGCAGGAATGCCCTGTGTAGGTTTTGATCTCTTCTGGAAGACATGCCATCTCCTCACCCACCCAATTTGTAATATTTTCCCTTTTTTAAATAAAGGTATCACAGGTCACTATGTCCCTTAGTGAGTTCTACTACGATGTTTTGTTGTCACGCAGGAGAATTAGGCTGGGGAATCCTCCCTCCGCCGCCCCCTCCCCTTTGTAATAGAAACAGAAAACAACTATGCAATTATTTCATTGTAAGAGCCAGGAAGACAAGGACCTGGGGCATCCCATTAAATGTCAATTGCATATCCTCTGACAAAGGATTGGTCCCACCGCTCACTTGTACACACACACTGCTTTGCATTGAAACCTGTGATTGTGATTCGAGGACCCGTTTCCCACTTGGGAATAATAAAGACACATGGACACAGCATATTAGGTTAATGGGCTAGAAAAGGCCACAACTTTATTGATTACAGCATGTGAGAAGTATTGGCTTAGGCATTAAAAAGGTAAAGGTACCCCTGCCCATACAAGCCAGTCGTGTCCAACTCTAGGGTTGTGCGCCCATCTCACTTAAGAGGCCGGGGGCCAGTGCTGTCCGGAGACACTTCCGGGTCACGTGGCCAGCGTGACAAAACTGCATCTGGCGAGCCAGCACAGCACACGGAAACGCTGGGGTGCTTTCGAACTGCTAGGTTGGCAGGCGCTGGGACTGAGCAACGGGAGCGCACCCCGCCGCGGGGATTCGAACCGCCAACCTTTCGATCGGCAAGTCCTAGGCACTGAGGCTTTTACCCACAGCGCCACCCGCGTCCAGCTTAGGCATTGGACAACTGCAAATTTTGACTCCACCCACTCAGAGAAGGGTGAGTCTGATGAGGGTTAACCACCAGTAGGGGGAGCCTGTTGATGCAAATACAACTATAAACTCTCCCCTGATGTCACTGGAGGTCGTGCCATGGCCCCCAGCTGCACAGGGCATCGGACAGGATCCCCGACTGCCGGATTCGTTTAACGGAATACCCAAAAGTGAAGGGGTAGGCGATGGCCACACCTTGCACTTCCATACACCAACAACCTATTCCAATGCCTAACCGCCAAATACCGAGAAAGTTGTGACGATTGCTAGGAGGTAGGCGAAAAAAACCAAAAGGCCAGTGCCAATCTGCCAATTGGAAAAAGAAGAGATCGGCAGTGCAATGGTAGGGAGAGCTGGTGCGGCCGCATTTGACCGGCTAAACCACGCCCCCAAGCAGCCACCCGATTGGGTGTTCTTCTGGGAGGCGTGGCGTGCCAGCGATGGAGCAGGGCAGGGGCCAGAACGCCCCCTGCATAACGCGGGAAACTGTTCACGCTCACAATCCCTCCCCTCCTGGAGGAGGAGAGGCTTTATCCTCCTAGTTAATGTTGTCCCCTTTACATGCTCCTTTCTCTCACTCTCTCACACACTTGCCTCAACCATAATTTGTCTAAGCCTAATATCCTTCCTTGGAGTTTTACTCCAATTCAGGTAAGAAATGGGAAACACCTCATTCACAATATCATAATCTCCTTCAGTTGTGGGCAGACAGCTGGATGGGGAGGGGGTGAACAGAAAAGGTAAGTGTGGATTAGCCCTTAGACCAGCATTTCTCAACCTGTGGGTCCCCAGATGTTTTGGACTACAACTCCCATCATCCCTGAGCTCTGGCCTTGCTAGCTAGGGGTGATGGGAGTTGTAGTCCAACAACATCTGGGGACCCACAGGTTGAGAAAGGCTGCCTTAGACTATAGGCCTGTTGTGACCTGAATTTCTTCCTTTTCTTTTTTAACTTCCAAGTCACACTAACTGATAACATGCCCTTCTTTACACTATGATTCTATCATGATCCAGGCGCTCTTGGAGGAGACAAATTTTCTAGATCCATTTCAATTAGGATGTGGCCTGGCTTTGACACAGAAACCTCCCTGGTTGACCTCTGTCGGGAGACAGGTGCAATGTATCCCTGTTAATCCTTCTTGAATCAGTGGCTTTCAGTACCATCAAACACTGTGTTCCTTTTGAGAGGCTATCCAAATTGGGGGTGGGTGACCATGCTTTCTAATGGTTCTGTTCCTACTTGGATGGTCATCTTCAGCAGGTGATTTAAAAAAAAAATTGCACCAAGGAGCCTTCAATGTTGGGTTCCTCATGCTTCATTGCTGTCACCCATGTTGCTTAATATCTGCAGCATATGAAGCTGCTGGGTGGAGTCATCCAGAGTTTTGGAGTGTGTTGATGACATGCAGCTCTATTTTTCCTTTACATCTACAGGTGGGGCAGTGGATAGGCTGGACAGGTGTCTGGAAGAGAACCAATAAACTGAAAATCAATCTAGATAAGACAGAGACACTATTAGTGGGTGGTTCTCTAGACAAGATGGATAGGAGGTTGCCTGCTCTTGAGGTGGTTACACTTCCTCTTAAGTAACAGGTACATAGCTTGGGTTTGCTCCTGGATCCTTTACTATCACATGAGGCTTTGGTGGTATGGAGGTCCTTCTATCAGCTTTAGCTCTATGGACAAGGATAGCCTAACATTTGTGCTTTATGCTCTGTAAACCTCTAGGTTGGATTACTATAATGCGTTATAAATGGGTCTGCCTCTGAATTCAGTTCAGAAACTTCAGCTGGTGCAAAATCTGATGGCCAGGTTGCTCATTAGAACAAGATGGTTTAAGCTTTACGCCAAATTGCACTGGCTGCCAATTAGTTTCTGGGCCCAGTTAAGAGTGCAATGCTGATGCAGTATATTTTACATGGCTCAGGACTTCAATATCTTTAGGACCTCTTCTCCCCATACAAACTGACCCAGATCCTGTGCTTGTCATCTGAGGCCCTTTCTATGTCCCTGCTCCTCGAGAGGTTTTGAGGATGACAACACAAGAATGGGCCTTTTCTGTGATGGCTCCCCATCTGTGGCATGTTCCCTCAGAGAGAATCACATGGAGCCATCATTACATGTCTTTAGGCACCAGGCAAAAGCATTTCTATTAAATCCCATTCTTTAAATATGCTATGGCCCCTTAAATGGGGGCTGTTATTATGATTATTTTATTATGTTGATGTGTATATTATGCTATATCTTATGTTTTTCTTATTATGCGGCATCCCTAGGAGTGCTGAATCACTGATGCTCCCGGGATTATGCCACCACTGAGAATTATGGAGAAAGCGGTTTTAAAATATTGCCCATCTAATTGAGCTAACTAAAACACTTAGACTTCTCTTTCAGTTCCAAGTTTTCATGGGAACAAAATAGTAATCTATGCCTCCTGAAATGTTTCTACTATATCTAGAGCATTGCATACATAAAGATGCTATCCTGTGCTGTTTTAGTGCGTTATTTTTCAAAGATTCATGTAACATGAATCCTTCTTCATATTCCATATTTTTATTTTTTTGAACAGTCAATTGACAACTTGCTCTTTATTGTACACCGGAACGATTTCAGTCTTTCTCATCTGATACACTGAAGGCTTACTAGAATTTCAGTACAGTTTGAAGAGTCCTGCATCTCAGTTTAATACCAAATGCTGACAAAGGACATTCAGGAAGTTTGGAAAGACCAAAGCACGGAAAGGTATTAGATTTTTATATACTTTGCCATGTTAGTTTTATTGTCATTACCCCACCTTAACAAATGATTGCAGTTAAAGAAACATTTGGAGAATTTTTATCTCGAACTCTGACTGTTCCTCCAATCTGATCTGGTTCATTTGTATTGCTTAGAAGAATGCATAATGTGTGTGGGGTCGGGGGGAGAAGAAGCACTACAGCTTCTTCTACTTAGCTATATCTTTTGCAGCCCTGTATTTTGCTCAGTGTGCTGAATCAGAAGTATGGCCAAGAATACAAGATCTTTCAAGAAACAATTGCATTTATTTTGAAATTCAGAAAGGAGAAAATGTCACCCTTGCTTCTCTAAATGGTTTATCCATGAAAATGAGCATGTTTGTTTCACAGTTATTTAAATGTAGGACACAAAATTCTTAAATTATGTGTAATAGTGAAGTTGCTCTATTAGAGAGAGTCTAAGTTTCTGAGTTTTATTTTTGTAATTGATCATGGGGGAAGTTATTCTGATTTCATTGTTTATTTCATTTTTGCTCATCTATTTCTTGCCAAAAGGGATCCTCTAGGCTCACCCCACGCTATGCTCAGTGCAAGAATCTTCAACACAGAAACTGTCAAACTGTTTGAATTTTTCCAAAGCAAGTCTGCAACACCCTTTCCTTAGATTTGCTGATAGCTGATAATGAACCAATAGAAACTAATCAGTAATCTCTTCTCATTATTACAGTATCATACCTTCCCAAACCTTCTAGCAAAATACCATGCAAATATTACAAAATGAGGTCCCTTTCTCTTTCTTTCTTTTTTGTATGTCATTGCAGATAATATTTGAATCTGGATATGAGAGAAGAAAATGAGACTGAATTGACTGAGTTTATCCTCATTGGCTTTTCTGGACGACCAAAGACAAAGATGGGACTCATTGTTTTCCTGATTGTTGTATATGCTATCACTGTAGTGGGAAATTTTATTATAATCTTGGTGACCACAACTGATCCTCGGCTTCACAATCCCATGTATTTTTTCCTCAGTAACCTGTCCTTCCTTGACATTTGCTATGCATCTTCTTCAATCCCACAAGCCATTGCAAATCTTCTGGTGGACAAACCCACCATGTCCTTTGCCATGTGTTACTTCCAAATGAGTAGTGGTTCCTACTTAGCAGTGACTGAATGCTTCCTGTTGGCTGTCATGGCTTATGACAGACTTATAGCCATTTCCAGCCCACTGCATTACATGTTAATCATGAACAAGAGACTGTGCATTCAGTTAGCAGCTGGGACATGGTCAATTGGCTTATTTTTAGGGGCTATTCCCATTTATGCCATTCCAGCTCGCTTTTGTGGGAAAAATTTGGTGAATCATTTCACATGTGAAGTCAAAGCAGTTATGAAGCTGGTTTGCTCAGATACTTCCTTGAGCCACCTGGTTATGTTCTTCACTGGGAGTGTCACTTTGCTTGGTCCCTTTAGCTTTATCCTTTTCTCGTATTTGCGCATAATTGTGGCAATTCTAAGAATCCACTCAGCAGGGGGCAGGATGAAGGCTTTCTCCACATGTGCTTCCCACTTGACTGTAGTATCCATATTCTATGGCACCTTCATGTTCTCATATCTCCGCCCCCAAACTAAGACCACAAAAGATGTAGACAAGATAATTTCTCTCTTCTATGGAAGTGTGACTCCCATGTTAAACCCATTAATCTACACTCTCAGAAATCAGGAAGTTATAGGGGCCTTGAGAAGACTTGTGGGAAAGAAAGTAGATTCATGAAAAAGATACCTTGATCATATTGAGGATTGAAATATTTCTGTGCCTCTTGATGTTATTGCTTCTGTTATTATCACAACCTTAACAGCTACTGAATACATTTGAAACTAGGAAAGCTGAATGTGTTGTGTATAATGGAAATAAAGGCTCCTTGAAAATCTAACTGATATGCTAAAGGTAAATTTCTCCTCTCTTTCAGATGCAGCTAGGTGGAATGATTGTCAATTGAAACCAAGGAAAGGAGACAAACAGTTGGTTTCAGCTGAATTGATGGAGTGTGCTTTAATGTCTGCCATTTCCCTCAGATGCAGCCAGCTTGTAAAACAGGCTACAATGTAGCTGCTGAACAGGGATAGAAAAACCTCTGTATCTCCTGTTATAATAATGCCAGGTCCTTTCATTTTCCATATGTTCATCTAGTGTGGGGGTAGCCAACATGGTGACCCCCAGATGTTTTGGACTACACCTACTATCATCGCTGACCAGTGACCATATTGACAGGGGTCAGGGATGGACAAATCTGTAGATGTGGTTATCATTTTTTTCCTGTCTTAAGTTCAGGTCTCTGCATTTCTACATCACTTTCTGTTGTTTGTTTATTATTTCTAATAAATCCATGAAAATTTATTAGCATTTTATTTTTCTTATAGAATTGTACATATGTAGAATTTTATTCAAAGAGCTTTTTGTATTTGTTTTCTTATTATTCTTATTCTTATTTTGACAAAGAAACAATCATAAATAAATAGGAATAAAAATGTGAACTCCACCACCGAGACCATTCCATTATAACTATCCAATCTCCAAAAATTTCAACACCTCTTGCAATGGTTTGACCCCTTTCCATTTTAACAGTACATATTCTACAAACATTTCCCATATCTCCTCGAAATCATTTCTCCTGCATATTCCCCATTTTATCTTAATGGCACATGTTAATTTATCATTAATAGCTATATCACACACCTCTTTATACCATTCTTTAATTTTATATTCTGCTTGCTACTTCCCAGCTATCATAATTCATACAGCTGTCAATAAATTTGTGAGCAAGTCCTTCATAGCCTGTGAACCTTCCACCCCATCGTAAACTGATAATCACGCTACCTCTGGACTTTTGGTCAGCTTTAACCCAGTTATTTCTCCTAAAACATATGTACAATTTTTCATTAACATTTAGTGCAAATTTCTCCTAATAAATTCATTTGCTATACAATTTTCACTAAGGTACACATTTTTGCAAGCAATTTTGCAAATGTAATGCATTTTGTATTAATATATGCAGTTTTATGCTCAGTTTAATATATGCATTTTGTTTGCATTGAGACCTATGTCACAAAATTCAGATGAATGGGAATTTTGAGAGATACAAAACTGGAATTAGGCAAGTAACACTATGGGGAGCTTATTCACTTTCGGGTAATGACAGGGGGTGGGTTGACTGACTTTTTCTTTTTTGACAAAACACTTATATGATGGGTAAATATGCCTTGTCTTATCAAAATCTTCTTCCATAAACAGTATTTCACCTATCTAAAATTATTGCATCATTAATAGGAGTATTAGTGTCAGCATTATTTATAACCCAGACTTGAAACAAATACAAGTATAGTTCTATGAATATATTTCCCCCCCTAAAAAAATTGGATGAGAACCTCAATAACAGTGGCATGAGTTTACTGCTCAAGTATTCCCAAGTTGCCTTTTTTGAGATTTGAACATCTGTTAGGTCCCATCATGTACCCTGATATTCTTCCAAGTCAAAGTAAGAAACTATGAAGCAGAGTACTGTTAATTTCCTGCAGAAAGACATTTTCCCACTAGAGCCCAACAGCACTAATTAGGTCTTAACTTTGAATCCCATCAGGGAAAATGTAGCATTCCAAGAAACTTAAGAATTGCTTCATAATGTAGTTGTTGCTTGACTGGGAAAATACATTAAGGTTATTTTCTTCTTTAAATGTATTCAGGAAAGTGGTCATCAGAAATGGCCTTGTGCAGTTCAAATATCTTTCTCCAGCTGAACCAAAGCCCCCTTCAAAGTCTGACTGAGATTTGATCATTTTCAGCTTTCCCTCTTGCTGATTTCTGCCAGGTCCCATTTATTCAATAGTTGTGGAGAGGCTAGGAGGAAAATTTTAGGAGAGGAGGCAGGTGACAGTGGATAACAAGCCTCCAAGGTTGTATTGTACCATCATAGACACAGGGATATGTTGTCATTGCTGCTGCTAACATATGATTTAGGCACCAAACTAACGGGTTTTCCAAATGTAACCCCTGTAAGCATGGGATTTCCAGCGACCCATGTTTTTAATTCTGCTTGCAGACAGACCCCAATGCACTGCCGTCATAGCAGCCCCAATTCAAAAAGAATGGGCTGCATATTCCGACGCTGGAAGCCCACAGGCCTGAATAGCCTTTCTCATCACTCTGGTAAACTGGTGCCTAGCTAAATGAGTTCCATCACTGTGATTAAGGAATGGGCCAGCTCCAGGAGGCCTGAGTTGCAGAAACCTCCTGGCTTCCTTGACCAGGCAGAGACCTCTCTGTGCTGTCAAAAGCAAATATTGATTTGCTGAAAAATGAAATAGTGGCAGACTAATTCTTAATGTCTTGGCTGGCCGCCCCAGGTGGAACAAATGCACGAGATAATGACAAACTTAGATCTGTAGTTGGTGGAAGACCCAAGGCAATGGCCAATGTCTTCACACGAAAGGCTATAAAATCAGCCCAAGCTTTCTTGTAGGACCTGAGTAGAGGGGGCGAAGGAGGCGACTACTCCCTATGTCAATATATGCTTCCAAGGTTCCAAAGGTGGTCTTCAAAAGGCTTGGGCAGCCATCGTGCTTCTTGTGCCAATAATCTGAAGCAGTATATCTGAAATTGAGACTGTGCAACAGCAATTTCATTAGACACCCCAGGGATAAATTTGGCGGAAAATACAATGCTAAATTTTAAACAATGCAGGACAAAGGCCCGCAGAAGGCATGTAACCCTGTGGGAACACGATGACTGCTTTGCCAATACACTCAAAATGATTGGCCAAGAGGCCTGGGATGATCGTGGTGCCACCTTGGCGTGAGGACATTACTCCACCCACACCAGGGTGGGGAGAACTGGGTTGATGGCCTTCCCGCAACCAGGGCCATATTTTAAGATGATCCCACTAACCCCTAAAAATGAGCCACTTGATTATGTCCCAGCTGCTAACTGAATGCACAATCTCTTGTTCATGTTTAACATGTAATGCAGTGAGTCTGGAAAGGGCTATGAGTCTGTCATAAGCCATGACAGGCAACAGGAAGCATTCAGTTGTACATAAGTAGACACCCCTGCTCATTTGCAAGTAATACGTCACAAAGGACATGGTGTCATAAGAATCCACTCAGCAGGGGGCAGGATGAAGGCTTTCTCCACATGTGCTTCCCACTTGACTGTAGTATCCATATTCTGTGGCACCTTCATGTTCTCATATCTCCGCCCCCAAACTAAGACCACAAAGGATGTAGACAAGATAATTTCTATTTTCTATGGAGTTATGACTCCCATGTTAAACCCATTAATCTACACTCTCAGAAAACAGGAAGTTATGGGGGCCTTGAGAAGACTTGTGTGGAGGAAAGTGGATTCATGAAAAAGATACCTTGATCATATTGAGGACTGAAATATTTTCTGTGCCCCTTGCTCTTACTACTTCTATTTTTATCACAACCTTAACAGCTACTGAATACATTTGAAACTAGGAAAGCTGAATGTGATGTGTTAAGATGGAAATAAAGGCTCCTTGAAAATCTAACTGATATGCTAAACATAAAATTCTCCTCTCTTTCAGATGCAGCTAGGTGGAATGCTTGTCAATTGAAACTAAGGATAGGAGGCAAACAGTGATGGTCACACACAAGTTTTAAAGCAAAACAAGGAAATTTTCCCAGTATCATTTGAAAAGATAAAAACGCCATCTAACTACAGTGAAATGATGGAACTGATCCTGAATGAATGCTTTTTTATTAATCAGTATAAGAATTTGCTAATGGATGCGCTGGGAAGAGGCACTAAAAATGAAGGGCAACAATGGATCCTTCTGGAGAATGCAGCAAGGATCACACAGTCTAATTAATAATTGGGCCCAACTCAAAGACCAATGCTGAGGTAATATGTCTTACATGGCTCAGGACTTCAGTATCTTAAGGAACTCTTCTCCCCATACAAACTGACCTAGATCCTACACTTGTCATCTGAGGCTCTTCTCTATGTCCCCGCTCGTCGAGAGGTTCTGAGGATGACAACACAAGAATGGGCCTTTTCTGTGGTGGCTCCCCATCTGTGGAATGCTCCCCCAGAGATACTCACATGGAGCCATCATTACATGTCTTTAGGCACCAGGCAAAAGCATTTCTATTAACCCCCATTATTTAAATAATCTATGGCCTGTTAAATGGGAAGGCGGCTGTTATTATGATTATTTTATTATGATGATGTGTATATTATGCTATATCTTATGTTTTTCTTATTATGCGGCATCCCTAGGAGTGCTGAATCACTGATGCTCCCGGGATTATGCCGCCACTGGGAATTATGGAGAAAGTGGTTTTAAAATATTGCCCATCTAATTGAGCTAACTAAAACACTTAGACTTCTCTTTCAGTTCCAAGTTTTCATGGGAACAAAATAGTAATCTATGCCTCCTGAAATGTTTCTACCATATCTAGAGCATTGCATACATAAAGATGCTATCCTGTGCTGTTTTAGTGTGTTATTTTTCAAAGATTCATGTAACATGAATCCTTCTTCATATTCCATATTTTTATTTTTTTGAACAGTCAACTGACAACTTGCTTTTTATTGTCCACTGGAACGATTTGAGTCTTTCTAGAATTACTAGAATTACTAGAATTCCTGTACAGTTTGAAGAATCCTGACAAAGGACATTCAGGAAGTGTGGAAAAACCAAAGCACTTAAAGGTATTAGTTGTTTATATACTTTGCCATTTTAGTTTCATTGT